AGTATATTTATACATCAGAAAGGATAATATCTGCTTTGGCTGGACCCTAATCTGTCTTTTCAAATTGCAGAAACAAAGGCAAAAATAAGATTAAGGGCAGTGCCTGCCATCCTTCACCACTAATCTGTAGCCATCCCAGACCCCTATTAAGTTTTACACATCCCAGCAAGTTCTTTCAGAACTCTTGAGTGAATGCCATTTGGTCCTGGTAACTTGTTACTGTTTAGTTTTATCAATTTGGTTTCAAATCATCCTCCTAATGACACCTTAATCTGGGAGAGTTCTTTAGCTTTGTCACCCAAAGAATGCCTTAGGTTTGGGAATCTCCCTCACATCTTCAGCTGTAAAGACAGATGCAAATAATTCATTTAGCTTCTCTGCAATGACCATATCATCCTTGAATGCTCTCTTAACTTTCTGTTAATTATGCATTGCTTCTTGAGCGCTTCTCTTCTTTCCTTGGTGGTAATAGGCAGTTTGAGGCTGCACTGGTGGTCCACATTTTCTCCTTGAAGCAGATTTATGGAGGGCTTTACGCTGTTGGCAGTAACTTATCTGTTAGTGGTGGTCATCTTGATTATGTTGTGGGTTTTTCTCTTAAGCTCTAGAGAAGCATAAATAAACTATATATTTTGGAAGGAAAATTGGCTTTGTTTTAGTGAGTCTGAAATCAAATGCAGCAACAGAAACCAATGTAAGGAAATATTACTTAAATGCATCAGGTATTTGTATTGAGTTGAATAGTCAGAGTTTAGTACATGCAAAAATAATTTGGCATCTTGAATGGATGAAAATACACACAGCTACACGGATTATTCCACAAAGCACAAATGTCATCAAACAATTAATTGCTTCAGGTAAGGAAGAGACATCCATTATGACATGTTTTAATTGTTTACAGCAGGGATGGAGAACCTAAGGCCTGTGGGCTGGATGTGACCCCTGGATTTCCATGCATTGGAGCTTCAGGGCCCCCCTGCCTGCCCACTACCCCATCATGGGGCTGGAGCATACAAAATCTACTAGCCTGGGCCCCCTTAGGCTCTGGTGTCTGAGGGGAGTGTGGGGAGTTACTTCCTCCCTTTCAGTTGAGCCCATGTCAATAAAGGGTTTGTTTGGGATTTCCCCTCCTCTCCCTCCAACTTGTGTGCAGACCCGGACTGATTTTTCTGTGGGTCATTGGCCCCCAACCCAATAAACCCCTGGTTTATAGGAACTTTAGCATCTTTTTCTAAAGCATCCACAGTATACTTTTGCTGACAGACTACCGAGCTAGATGCTGTTGTTGTTTTTATATAACTCATCTTCAGTAGTGATAGGATTATAGACTCTCTGAAAATTTGACCGTGGCAGTCACCCACTGGATGCACCTGAACGGATTTGTGAGATTTCCATTGTTAGTAACATTGAAAAAGTTTCACGGTTGTTTTGGAATCTGTGGTTCACTACTTAAAAGTTGCAGAATTGCTGAAATCCTTTAAACTGTAAAACTTAATTTAGTAATGATGTTTTTCTCTTTTTAGGTACTTCAGGTACTACGATAAGATTGAGTACGAACCATTTTCGGTTGATCTCTCGTCCACAGTGGGCTTTATATCAATACCATGTTGACTATAATCCTCAAGTGGAAGCTCGCCGTCTTCGCTCAGCTTTGCTCTTTCAGCATGAACAACCAATTGGGAAGACACATGCATTTGATGGAACAATGTTGTTCTTACCCAAAAAGCTAGAAAATAAGGTGCGTGTAAATGGTGCTAGATTCTATTTGAGTTTTATTTTTGCCTATTGCTTTCATTCTGTTTGGGGGTGAAATTGGATGGAGCATGAACAGTCTTGTTATAAAATATGCAGCTTTTAATTTTTAGGCTCAAATTACAGGAGTTAATTATTCGACTTGAAGTATGAGAACTGATGGGCTAATCAAACTCAAATCATAGTAGTCCTCACCCAGATTCTTCAAGCTCAAATAATCCCATATATCTGTGTGGGAATAATGAAATTTAGTCAAAACTCCTCTTGTGACTTCTAATATGTATAGAAGTTTGAAGGTACTGAATAAAAAGAATGACTGCTCTGGTGCCTGTTCAGCCTACAAGCCTGGGCTTCTGGTAATAAGCAAAAAATTTACTTACACTTAGCATTAAGTCACCTTCTTCTAAACACAGCTCTCAAACAGCGTTCCCTCTAAGCTGCTTGGCAGCACAGCTTCACAGATAAAATCAGCTCTGTCCAGTCAGAGGTTCAGGGCTCTGTGGGCATGGCTGATCAGTCAGCTCCCTGCATTCAATCACCTGTAAGCTGTGCTGCTGTGTACCTTACAGGGAACACTGCCTGATTTGTGGTCACAGCCATTGTAATGTGAAGGTCCTTGTATCCACTTCCTTAGAGATGCCCAAGGTATAAACCGACAAAAGACTTTACATACCCTTAAAACTCTAGTACAACTTTATTACCAAGCACTGTCTTATGCATCAAGTCAGCCTGAACAGGCAAGTAAGGGGCATAAGTCCCCAAGTCAGAGATAGTTATTTGTTCCTGTCTCAGCAGTCATCTAAGTAGCAGATTTGACTTCTGGAGCGGAATTCCAGTTGTTCAAAACCTGTTTGGGAAGCAATTGTACCATTGCAACAGAGTTTGGAATACTATTACCTTAGATCACTGATTCTAGATATAGATTTGGGATATACATCTTAATTTCAGTCTCTCCCATTCACCAGCTATATTCAGGGACTCACATTCATCAGCTAGCATGGTTTCAAGAAGTGCAGTCTCTTAAGCGTGGTGGTGTATAAGGGGGGGGTGGCACCTCAATATGCACATCAAGGAAAAGGGGTTTTAAATTTGATTTAAGAAAGGGTTAAGGCCTATGCTATATCTGAGACACCCAAACATCTTAATAAAAAAGATAAAAGTTCTTGGCCTCTATCATTCCTTCCTTTAACCTGAATGACAAACTTGCTGTCTTCAGTTTGCTGGACACTTACTTTCATGTCGACATTCTACTCTGCCACAGACAATTCCTTATTCACAATAAGGGAAAATTATCATTATCTCTATAGACTTTTATCATTCAGACTATCATTAACACCTCAAGCTAAGTGCTTAGACATACTAGTAATTTTTCTGAACCGTGTGAGAATCCACGAATTCCCTTATCTTGATGATTGGTCCATCCATCGCTGCTTCTGTCAAGAAGTCACAGGGAACACTTGGTAGATCCAGTGTTTTCAGTAGTTTGGATCTGAAAAAAAAAAAGTGTCAATCTCTGAAAGGGATTTGTCCTAGTGCCAAGACTGGAATTCGTCAGCTTTTTACAGCTTGTTAACTGCAACCACTTATCTTCCTCAGAGATTTTGATCCCTCATGTCTGTATTAGTTTACAGTCTCATTTTTTGACAACATGGGTTGTTTGGATATATGGGGCATCCTGCCCATGTGTGATTCTAAATGCCAATCAACATCAGCAGTGTGCAAAGAAGGTTGAAGTTTCTATGTTGTCCAAGCAGATATTATTTGAATATGCTAATTCACATACTAGTGGAAGTCTTATTAAACTGATCAATGAGTTGAAGATGTTCACAGCTGGGATGATATATTTTCTTTTTAAACCTCCTCTGTTTTTTAAAAGAAAGACATTAGTGGCAGCACTTCAGCGCAAGTTGGAGAGACTTCAGTGATCTACTTACTATAGGCCTTTTGGAGAGCAGCAACTTGGTAGTTTCTTCACACCGTCATAAAACACATTGTTGTACAGGTTTGGCAAATAGATACAATTCCCAAATTTGGTTTGTTTGTTCATCGAGTGTTATCCCTGTGGGTGCTCCACTCAGATCTCAGTGTGTCCATGTGCCAGAGATGCACATAGCAGCCCTTTTCCCCTTTTTGTCCCCCCCTCCTCCCCAGAGCTTGTGGAATGCGCATGCGACGCAAGTCCCATCAGTTTATTTTCAACCATCCCTGGCTAAAGATGGAGTTCACAGTAGTGCTCTTTTTCCTGACAAGAAAAATTGACATCCTCTATTTTTAGTTTTACATTATAATTTTGTTTAGTTTGACCTTTTTCAACATTGACTTGGCTGGGGGGAGGAAAAAAAAAGCAGCAGCCACCCCAGCTTTTTTTCGCCGCAACAATGCTGGGTTCCCCCAGCTTAAAAAAATGTGATTCCTGCAGATACTCGATGCCGATCTCACATGGCCATGCTTCATTTGTCAGAAGACTGGGGAGTCTCATGGGGCACAGAAGTGCCCTCATTGCCTGAATAGGATGGCAAGGGGAAGAAGAGATTGCAAAACGCGGCTCAAAACTATTCTCTGGACAAAGTCTCTTCAATTACCAAGAGACAAACCAGAGCAGGTGCAGGCACAGCAAAAACCCTTGGGTAGGGCAGCTTCATGACCCCGCAAAGGCTCTCAAACCATAAGGCTCTCAAACCAAAGGCTCTCAAACCAAAGGCTCTCAAACCCTGGCATGCTTCCTGTCCAAGCACCCTAGAGCCTCTCGTCCCCCAGTGCCATCAGTCTCTGGTACTGCAGAAAAACGCAAGTCAGTGCCAGCCAGGAGAGCTGAGGCACAAAGTAAAACCACCAGATCAACTAATGCCACTGAGGCAGCAGCTTCAGATAAGCTGTCTGTGCCTGCTCCAATGAGCTCCCTCTGTACCCAATCTGGCTGGGCAGTGTGATTTTTTTTTTTTTTTTGACTGCCCCATGGAACTACAGCATAAGAAAGTGCTACCCAAAACGCGGCACCTATAAAACTCTCCTCAGTCTTATACAAGAGGAGTAACTGGCTAATCATGTTCCATAGTGCAAAGATACACTAACACTTCACAGAGTAGCCACCACTCACATACAGTGCTCTCCCTAATATTTTTTTATGGTAGCGGGCATAAGAGCAGGCTCTCATCAAGCCACTCCTCTCCTTCTTCATTGCTAGCTTCCTGGCATTCATACAGGGCAGCTCCCGCCTCACTGGAGCCCCTGGAATACATGGTAAGATCTGACAGTGGTCCTCTCATATTTACCCTTCAAGGTGCACAGCCTCCACATCCCAGCAATTCTGCACCTTTAGGCACTCACCCATAATCTCTGCACACTATTCACTTGTTCGCCCGCCCTCAGTAATTTCTCAAGTGAGTTCCAGTGAGCATGACAACTTACCTCAGTCAGATTCAGAGAGTCCCTCACATGAACCCAGATCCAGGCAGGACAAAGCTGTATTCCAGATCTCGCCTTCTCCTCCGGTAGATGACCTGAAATATTTTCAGGAATTTTTCAAATGGGTAGCACAACCACAGGACATTACATTACAAGAGGTGCAGGACACACAATACAAATTACTCACCGTATTATAACCCTCAGTGTCCTCAAAGATAGCTTTATCCATCAACAAAGGTATCCTTGAACCTTTGGATGCTTTGTGGTAAAATCCAGCCTCTGTTTGTTTACAAACCAGACAATGGACAGAAACTATTTCATCCTTGGAAAGAATATGGACTTTCTATTTGCCCCCCTTCAGCCAAATTCACTGGTGGTGGACTCTGTGAAACACAATTTAAATCTATGTCCTGTGACAAACAACACAAATGGCTAGACACCTTGGGCCACGAAGTGTACTCTTCTGCCACACTTCAGGGCTGTATATTTAATTATATAGCACTATTGGCTAATTACAATCATGGCAGTTATGCCAAATTACAAGATTTGCTACAGGACCTCCCTGAAAACAAGCAACCTCCCCTCCAATCCGTTGTTAAGGAGGGTTTATCAATAGCTAAAACAGCTCTTCAGGCCGCTATGGATGTCTCAGACACTGCGGCTAAAGCCACAGCCATAGTAATGCGCAGGGCTTCCTGGCTGCAGTCATCAGGGGTCCCAAGGGAACTACAAAGCAAGGGTGGAGGATCTCCCCTTTGATAGGAAACAATTATTTGGTATCTGAGGGATTCTCATATGACACGATGAGAATGGACACCCCTTCCAATCAGAAGTGTAAATACACTCCCTACCAAAAAATGAGGGATAATAATTACAACTATTACAGGCAGCAGCAGACGCCATATGATAACAGGACTAAGCAATTCCCTAATAGGAAGAATCAGCAAAACCAGTCCTCCACAAATCAGTCCACCTCTAACAAGCAGCGAATTTGGTCTGTGGTCTGAGTGACCACACCATAAATCCAGTGCAGTCCAATGTCATCTTTGGTCATCGCCTGAGATCTTTCTACCAACAGTGGGCCCAAATTACCACAGACAAATGAGTCATAGAAATGATCATTAATTATAATGATACAATCCCCTTTACTTCCATGCCCCATATCCTACCCCATCCCTCTTCAGGGACCCCTCTCACGAGCTCGTTATGGGCAGAGGTGCAAAAGCTACTTACCTTAGCAGCAACACATCATTATCAATACAGTGTCTTCCCCCTTGGCCTCTCTAAAGCCCCTTGAGTATTTGCAAACATCCTAGCCATAGTCACAGCCTTTCTGAGAAAACAAAATGTCACTATCTTCCCTTTCCTAGATGATTGTCTAAGCAAAGGCCCTACCTATCAGCAAACTACTATCATGACAGCTATTACCAGGGAATGTTTTTCCTGACTTTGCAAATGATACAGTTCATTGGCGCATTGCTAGAATCAGTGACAGCAAGAGCCTACCTCCTGCCAGAAAGATTCAGGGCAATTTGCGACCTCGTTCAACAGGTCAGACAGGTCCCCTTCTCCATGGTCCGGATGTGCCTTCAGTTATTGGGGCATATGGCAGCCACGCTGTTTCTGGTCTTTTTTGCAAGGCAGCATATGTGTTGCCTACAATATTGGTTCGCAATCAACTATATACCAACCTGACACAGCCTGGCAAAGCACCTCTCTCTTCCTCCACCAATACTGCAGTCCCTCCAGTGGTGGGCATCTCCGAAAAACCTCCTCGTCGGTATACCCTTTCACTGACCAGACCTTTCAGTTTCTATAACAGATGCATCACTTGTGGGCTGGGGAGTCCATTGTGGTGCAGCGTCAATACAGAATACATCGGCCTAACACGAGAGAAACTTTCACATCAATATTTTAGAGCTCAGGGCCATTAACAAGTTGCACTCACTTCTTTCCCCTGATAATGGGCAAGACTATCCGTGTCCTCATGGAGAACACACCGTCTGTGTTTTATGTCAACTGGCAGAGGTGTGCCCGATCACGCTTTCTGTTTGAGGCAGTCAGATTCTGGAACTGGTGCATCAGGAACCAGCTATCCCCAACGACCATGTACATACCAGGGCAACAGACTGCGAGAGCCAATAAACTGAGCAGACATTACTCAGATCAGCACAAGTGGGAGATCAATACCAATGTCCTCCTTTCAATCTTCTGCAAATGGGTCTTTCCAACTATAGATCACTTTGAAACACCTCACAACCACAAATGCCACAGATTCTGCTCTCGGGCAGGACTAGGCAAGAGATCAGAAGGGGATCTCTTCACCATCTACTGGATAGCTCCCCTACTTTATGCCTTTCCACCAATCCCGCTTATCGCCAGATTGATCAACAAGGTCTGATCAGATCAGGCCACAGTAATGTTAATAGTCCCAGCCTGGCTGAGAGCGCCTTGGTTCCCTTATCTACACTGCCTGTGATGGATTAACCTATCCCTCTCCTGGCGGTGCTGAATTTCCTCACACAGCACCACAACAAAATCTTGAAACTCATGGTGTAGTTTCTCCATGGTTCCAGAATGAAGAACTCACCTGTTCAGACAGGGTCAAATAAGTTCTTTTTAAACAGTCAGCGTCCCTCCATGAGAAGTGCCTATCAAAACAAATGGATGCGTTTTTCAGCAATGGTGCATGATGCGTAAATTGCATCCCACCACAGTCCCCATACCTACCTTTCTCGACTACCCCATGGAACTTAGCGACATGGGCCTCTCCATCAGCTCTGTCCGGGTCCACCTGGCGGTGATCATGGCCTTCCATGATCCGGTTGATGGCTTCTCTCTCTTCGCACATCCCATGGTGAAGCATTTTCTCACAGGTTTATAGAAAATGCATCCAAGCCTCCGCCCTGGTGCTACCGTGGGACCTGAATTTGGTCCCTGACATGCTCACCAGGCCACTAGCCACTCTTTGAGCCACTAGCCACTATGCCACCACAATCCCTGTCTACAAAAGTGGCATTCATAGTGGCAGTAACATCAGCAAGAAGGCTAGGAGAAATCGCAGCCATCATGACAGACTCTCCTTTCACTACATTTATGAGGGATAAAGACATACTTAGACCTCACTCCAAGTTCTTCCCTAAGGTTATATCCAGCTTCCATGTAAATTAATCCATTTACTTATCTGCCTATTTCCCTAAACCTCACGCTTCCCCCAAGGATGCTATATTACATACACTGGATGCAAGGAGGGCAATTGTGTTCTACCTTGATAGAACTAGAGCAACTAGGAAATCGGAGAGGCTCTTTGTTGCATGGTCAAGACCATGCACAGGAACAGCAGTTTCTGCACAGCACCTATCCAAGTGGATTGCAGGCTGCATACACACCCTTTATAAACTTAGGGGCAGACAGCCACCGCAGCCCATCAGGGCTCATTCCACACGTGCGATGGCCTCTACAACGGCCTTCCTGAACAGTGAACTATTGGCAGACATTTGTAGAGCAGCCACATAGTCCTCACACCATACTTTTGCTCAACACTATGGGGCTAATACCCTCCACATGTCTAGCAGATGTGGTCCTTCCTTCTTCCACTTAGACTCCAGTGCCCACCTCCATCGGGCAGGTACTGCTACGGAGTCACCTGAGAGGAGCACCCACAGGGACACCACTTGATGAAGTTACTCACCCTGTGTAGTAACATTGGTTCTTTGAGATGTGTGTCCCTGTGGGTGCTCCACTACCCTCCCATCCTCGCCTCTGCTTGGAGTTTACAGGGACTTCAGGTAGAAAAGGAACAGACGGGACTTGCAACTTGCGCATTTCACAGGCTTCGGCGGGCTGCTGTGTGCACAGATGTGGCATGAGGGGCACTGCTACCAAAAATCTCAGCTTTCCATCACAGGCACACACTGAGACCTGAATAGAGTACCCACAGAGTTACACATCTTGAAGAACCAATGTTACTGCACAGTGTGAGTAACTTCTTTATCCTTGGTCAAGTAGCCTAAGAGCACCCACTGCTATTTTAATTACTGTTTGTCAATGTAAAGTGAAATATGTGTGTGGTGTGTACATATATATTTCACAACCTGTTTTCTCCCCACTACTCAATCTAATTACTCCTGGAGTCTGAAGTCAAAGAATAGAGGTGGGTTTGTAGTAGCCCTGCTCATTTATATCCTCAACTGGACACATGAGGATATGCATCTCCAACAGTACCAGTTTGAGTGTGCATACGTAAAAAGTGAAATATATATGCACCCATTTCTCCCAACTACCATAGTTACTGTCTGAGTAACTTTCTTTTCTTCGTTAAGAGGATGTCGTAAGCCAAGTCCTGCTCTTAAGGCTGGAGCAAGATGGATGGGGAAGAGTAGAATCAGATGTAGGGAAGGAAGCAAATAAGATGGGCATTCTGACACATTAAGGTGTAATCTTGGCAGACTGATCATTCCTAGCTTCAATCTAAGGATTTTGAGTTAGTCTTATACTACCTCTGTTGAACTTCTGTGATCCGGGGTTCTTAGGTCTGGCAATATCCATGGTCCAGCAGGACAAGAGAGTCCCAGCAGGAGAGGTTGCCAGTGGAGCTCGTGGGACAACAGTCTCCAGGATGGCCAGGAGCTCTGGTGGCACTGCTGCAGGGCTGGTGGGGCTGCTAAGAGCTCCAGGGGGAACTGGGAGGTTGGGGAGAGGAGGCTAGTGAGGAGGCTGGGGCACCCCCTCCCCTCCAGCAAACTCCCTCGTCCAGGTACTATAGGTGCCAGACCAGGGGAGGTCCAACTTATATTACTGTGTTGAGATTTGCAGAGCAGTCTTGTGGGGATAAAGCATTAAAATTAATGGAATACAGAGCTACATATTCTAGACTGCTTTGAAAAATTGTCATAACTCCTCTTCAAATAAATGTTCCCTTTTTTTAGGTTACTGAAGTGTTCAGTCGGACCCGAAATGGAGAGAATATTAAGATTACTATCACCTTGACCAATGAGCTGCCACCTACTTCACCTACATGCCTGCAGTTTTACAATATTATTTTTAGAAGGTTAGCTTTTTGCTTTACAGTTCTTATCTTTCTTACAGCCAATTGAAAAGTTGGCTTTAATTTTCATCTCTTTGCAAATATTAAACTTTTTATCTTCTCTGTGATGGCTGAAGGAAAATGGTGGCCATCTAACCAGTATGGATACTACGGTTTGGCAAATAATTAGATATATTTATTGTCATGCCAATATAGAAGTAGTCTGTTTCAGAGTGAAGAATAACAAATAGCCTCAGGTGTTAATACAGTACTGGTTCGGAGCCCTTCAATCTCTTTGCAAATATTAAACTTTTTATCTTCTCTGTGATGGCTGAAGGAAAATGGTGGCCATCTAACCAGTATGGATACTACGGTTTGGCAAATAATTAGATATATTTATTGTCATGCCAATATAGAAGTAGTCTGTTTCAGAGTGAAGAATAACAAATAGCCTCAGGTGTTAATACAGTACTGGTTCGGAGCCCTTCAAACAATCTTTGTTCTTCTGTGGGCATTAGCTTTTTCTTAAAGGCATGGGTGGCAGCGCAGGACCTGTGAAACTAGTATGTTTCTGTTTCTGACCTGGTCTTTGCTCATTTTGCTGCCTTGGGCTTCTTACCTTCATCTGAAGAGGGACCTACTGAGGCCACTGTCAGGAGGCATGTGATTCAGTCTGTGATAGAGGGGATTTGTTCTTGATTAATTTTATTACATGAACTGATTAAGTAATACCCAAACAGATTGTAAGCATTTATTTAAAGTTCTCATGGATACCAAACTGTACATCGACATACACTTGAATTTCTTTAATTCAGCAACCCTGATAAACAGTGTATGACAGACTAAAGATTTTTCTGGGCCTGCGAGGGTGCAGTGGTGTCTGGGCGTGAGTGGATGATGTTGAGTTACTTACCTGCCACTCTGATCCTGGGGGCATAGCTGGCTGTGCATTTTCTGCTGCTCCCAAGCCTCACCCACTGATGTTTTGGGAGCGTTGGGGAAAACCCTCAAGGGAAGTGGCATTATGCCAAGCTGCTTCCTCCTGCATACCACGGGTGTTTCCAGATTGTGGATACCCAGAGTATGGAGCTTTAAGTGTATTCTATCTTAATATAGCGAAAGAAAGGCATGTAACTGTAAATGCAGGCCTTTATAATATTTTAAATGTTTTAATAAACTAAATGGTACTATCATTTGCCAAGTACTCATTCTTTTCTAACTTCTTTTTAGGCTTTTGAAATTAATGAACTTGCAGCAAATTGGACGTAATTATTATAATCCAAATGACCCAATCAGCATCCCCAATCACAGGTTAGAAAATGGGACGACAAGTCTTGTAAGGAAGAAAAGATCTTTTGATAGGACTTCAATGATTTATCATGTATTAAAATGATTTTTTCAGTTTGATCACTCATGTACCTAATTTATAGTTCCTTCTGACTTTGTGGGGCATAGATAAAATCTGAGTTTTTCTACATCTGACCTCGAATGTACTACTTAAGCAGCTGAGTAAAATAGTCTCTCATCTGTGTATACTAAGGCTTATTTTCAACTGAAATGGAGCCCCTTTGAGTGTTTTCTTACAACCTGCTACATAGGCAGCAAAAGATTTAACATTCTAATATTAGCAAACAAGACCAGTGTATAAAATAGTGATATTTTAAGCATTTGTTTTCAAGTTACTTTCATTAGATGATTTTGTAGTCATAGAGCTAGATCTTGAGATGCTCCTTCTTCTTCGGGTAGTCCCCGTGGGTGCTCCACGTCTGGTGTCGGGCTCGCCCCGGCGCCGCGAATCGGAGGCTTCCCAAAGCTGTGTTTGGCTGGACCGCGCATGCGCGAGGGCTTGAGGCCGTTCGCGCCTTTCCTCTCCGAGCATGGTCCAGCCCCCGCCTCCGCTCCGCTCACCGCCTCATCTGAAATGAGAGAAACAAACGAGATTCAGT